CCTGCTGATTCAGAAGATAGGGATTCTTAGAACCTAGTCTGCTCTCTGAATGATGAGTTGTACATGGATGCATTTTTGTTTTGATGATGTGTGCATGGAGCTCTGGTGTCTGGTTTCATCCTACTTCCCGTGTGGCAACACATACTCACCTTTGAGTTTCAGCCAGTTCCTTAGAAAGATGTGAATGGGCTGGAACCTAGAAATGTGCACATAGCCTTCTCCAAGCATTTGTGCATCTTGCATCCTAAAAGGGGCATCTTTTCCTTCTCCTGCTGCTCATTTTCTCTGTAGGGAGCCTGTGTTGATTATATTTCCGAGCTGGATTCAGACATCAGGCGTGCAAGTATTTTCACTTAACCAAGAAACAAGACAATTAAAATCCATTAACAGGCCCCTGAGAACCCAGTTAGCCTACTAGTTAGCAGTTTCTAAAATTAGATCAACTTAACATTCTCCAAATGCACTCTCCATTTTTAATATTGTTTTATTGTATTGTTTCTCAAAAGTATTAAAAAGCCAAGGAATCTAAACTTCTTCCTTGTTTTACATTTCTCACCTGAAAGACAAAAATAATATTTTTGCGTCAGTTGAGTGGTAACTGGCAGCTGGGTTGTAACTTTGTGCCTTAGTGGAATGGTTAGTTTAGTATGTAATAAAAGGGACTTTGCCATTTGACTGAATTAAAGAAGAGCACTGACATGTTAAATTAAAGAACAGCTTTACCCATCACAGTTGGAAATCATCAAACCAGTAGTGATTACTGGTATTTCCTAAATAGAAGGTAAAGCCTCACTAATTCAGCCTAAATGGAGAAAATCAATCTTATATTAATGAAAATCCAAATTTTAGAATCTTCACAGGAAATTCTCAGAAGAATAGTTTTATTTTAAATTGTATTCAGAAGATAGAGCTAAGCTAACAATGGAACAAACTGAACAAATGAACAAATAAAATGAATGGCAATTAGCATGATTATATTAAGTAGTCTAGAGCAATGCTTCTGAAATTATCTGCATAAAAGGACCAGATTTTTAAAATATTTAATATGCTGTGGATACTTACACAAAGTACAAAATCACATTGGTGGCTGTCATGGCAATGTCACATAGCTGTAAAAGTTTCTAAATGTTCATTATCACTCACTGAACTTATTTCTCTATGGACCAGTAAATTTGCAGACAAGAAGTGGTCTGTGACTGCACTTTAAATACCACTCTTATAAGGCTTGGAGCTTTAAAAAAAAAACTGGGTAGTTTAAATATCCCCCTCAAATCTGTTGCACTGGTTTTATTCATTTTTCAGTCTTCTGAAGTCAAGTTCCTATCTAAATTATCACTACTTTCCAATCACTAGATCCTGAATTAGAAGTTATCCTTGTTCTTGGCCTGATGAGTCACTTAACGCTCACCAACTATTCCTTCTGTCTTGGTTGATGTCATGATGAACTTGTTCCCCACCACACAGAGAAGAAGCAGTACCGGGAATCTTACATCAGTGACAACCTGGACCTCGACATGGACCAACTAGAAAAGCGGTCGCGGGCCAGCGGGAGCAGCGCAGGCAGCATGAAGCACAAGCGCCTGTCTCGTCATTCTACCACCAGCCACAGCAGTTCCCACACCTCGGGCATTGAGGCAGACACCAAGCCCCGGGATACGGGGCCAGAAGACAGCTACCCCAGCAGTGCCATCCACCGCAAACTGAAAACCTGCAGCTCCATGACCAGCCATGGCAGCTCCCACACCTCAGGGGTGGAGAGCGGCGGCAAAGACCGACTAGAAGAGGACTCGCAGGATGATGGTAACAGTACTGTCCCTTCACTGGCTCTCTTTTTAGTCTTTCCCAGTTTTTTTAAGTATTGGCTCTATAGCACTGGTGTCTGGAGAGCACTGGTGTCTAGCACGTAGTAATAGAGCAGAAGAGGTGCCTTGTTGTCTTCCCCAGTGACTTGGTTGAGTTGTTTGTGTTTGGCTATGCTCTAGTTTTGATCCTTTGTGGCCACAAGATTAGATGGTTGTGGACTCAAAGTCTTAGCTGTTTCTATGAAGTAGATTCGAGATAAGTCCTGTAGCCCTTGTGTCTGTATTTCTAATTCCCAGAGTAAATAAAACAGTGGTTAGGACAACACAGTGGAGTGCAGTGACAGTAACAAAAACATCTTGAACTTCTCAACCTCTCCCCACAAAATAAAGATTGGAGCCCATGCCATTGAGTTACTTAGTAATGTTTTTCTTAAGTGCCTCCCATGTATCCAGAACTATAGAGAAGATAAATATAGCACCTGGTTGATAGGAACTTAGTGTTAAGGAGATAAGATGAATCCTCTGGCTTATCTCAGCCAAAGTTAATATTTATGTTCCTCTTTTATATTATTTTTCTGTCTCAAATAAGTGCTATAGCACTCAGGCTTGAGGGAAAAGACAGACTCTGTTAAAGTGCAGACCATCTCTTTGGTTTCTATAGAATTTGTGTGGATCTCAAGTCACTCAGTGCCCTTGAGAGTAGGCAACCATGGGACATGGGGGGCTTTGCGAACTTCTCATCTGCTTGTGTCAATGAGCCTTACTTTGGCATCAGGCAAATGGCCCATCAGTTTCGGTTTGTCCTTTGTTATTGCAGCAAGGTAGTATAGTTTTTCTTCTTAAAAAATACAGAATAATTGGCAAATTATAGTATTAGAAAACATGTAGATAATACAGCAATCCTATAAGAAAGAACAAGTAGCAGCTGTTGAGAATTGTCCCTGGAGTTTCCCATTGGAGTCTTATTGGCAAATTTATTTTCAAATATGAATAATTACCTAGCCACCCACAAAATATGGTTGTATATTATGGTGGCCATTTTCCTTTTTGTCATTAACTGTCTTTTCCTTATTCTGTGTCAGAAATAGAGATGTTGGTTGATGACCCCCGGGACCTGGAGCAGATGAATGAAGAGTCTCTGGAAGTCAGCCCAGACATGTGCATCTACATCACGGAGGACATGCTCCTGTCACAGAAGCTGAACGGACACTCTGGTGAGCTCTTACAGAAGTTCTTCTTCCTTAGTAGCAGGTTATCCAGGACTGAAAAACCCTGCCTCAGAAAATAGAAGGGGTGGGCTGGGTGCTCTAGATCAGAGACTGGGCTGCACTAAGAGCCTCTCCAGGTCAGTATCATAAGCTGCAGAATCCTGTGCCTTCTGTGGAAAAAAGGGAAGAGGAGAACCACCCAGAATTGGGAATTAGCATTTTCTTCTCCACACTTTGGACAAAAGGTAGTTGTACAATAGGGTTCTCTCTCTGTTAGGCTATGTTGAGAATCATATAATGTAGCTGGAAGGCCTGTAGACCTCTTCAGTCTGGCCTCCTTTCCTATAATTCAAAGAGGGAAAATTCTACATGGCTAGAAACAGAAGTAGGCCTCCGGGTTTGTTTTTTTGTTTTTTGTTTTTCCCACTCTGTTATACCGGTAGAGGAGTCTGGGAGGAAAAGTGTCAAAATGGGTTGACCTAAAGAGATACTCCTAAATTCCATATTTGTATAAATTCTTCTAGAAAACATGCATTCACTATAATCCCTATTATAGTTATATAATATACAATATTCTGTCACATGTAAGATAACTATCTTTAAAAAATGCCAGTGTGAGTTTGTTTATAGACGTCAGCCGCATCTAGCTGCTGTTGTCACACATCATGAATCAGTCTGTTTTCTAGAGAAATATGCCTCAACAACCAACACTATTGATGGTTCCTTCCAGCTGCGATTGAATGAAGTTCCCCACTGGGGTGGCCTGTCCCTGCTCTGGCAAATCCGCAGCCCCGATGCTCATTTAGCCTCTTCCTCCAGGTGCCAGGCACTGGAAATCAGAGAGGAACCAGACCGATACACACTCAACCACCATTCTGGCACTTAGTCCTCAAGAGCAGGAGGCATCCTTTGTTTCAGAATTCCATTTGCTAACCCAGCAGAACCCTGGCCTCCAGATCTTCTGCCAGGAACATTCTCTGCCTCTGGCTGCAGAGAATCACTCTCTGACCAACACTGACTCCTCAGGCTGGTTGCTCTAAACATGCTTAGAGTTCAGATAGCAAACTTGGCCCCTTTTTGCCCATTTGCTTTACATTTTAATTTAAATTACTTATAACATTCACAATTATATGCACATTTTAGGTCCATAGATAGCTCTATGTATATATGTTTGTGGAAAGGAAATGGTCTAAAAACTGTGTGCCACAGTGCCTCTGGGAAGGGGAATATTAGGGAGGCTGACCTACATTTTGCATTTATATGTTTCTGCATTAATTTATATCACTGTAAATTTTAAATAGAAATAAAATTTAAGTTAAAAGGATGACTGTTTAAGAACATTTATATATGAAAATGTTTATTGAACTGTTATTTTTTTAAAATTAAAGAATGTGTGGTAAGGCCAGGCTCAGTGGCTCATACCTATAATCCCAGCACTTTGGGATGCCGAGGCGGGTGGATTACCTGAGGTCAGGAATTGGAGACCAGCCTGGCCAACATGATGAAACCCCATCTCTACTAAAAATACCCCAAAAATTAGCTTGGCATGGTGGCACGGGCCTGTAATCCCAGCTACGTGGGAGACTGGGGCAAGAGAATCACTTGAACCCGGGAAGTGGAGGTTGCAATGAGCTGAGATCGCGCCCCTGCATTCCATCCTGGGTGACAAAGTGAGACTCTGTCAACAAAAAAAAAGGAACAAGTGGTTAAATTATCACATATTCATACAATCGTATATAACCATTAAATTTGAGATTTTCAAACAATATTTAATAACGTAAGATAGTTAAGGTAAGCAGTAGAAATTGTGTAAAATCTGCTTTAAAAATAAGAATGTTTGTGTATTTAAAAAACACATAAAACTATTAATAGCCTTTTCTTTGGATGTTAGGGTTGTAGAGATGGATTATTTTATTTCTTACATCATCCTAGTTTCCCACATTCTCTACAATTTGAGCATTTAAATGTTGCTTATAAAACATTCAGCTAAGTGCTTGCCTTGTCAGCACATATACTAAAGTTGCAGTGATACAGAGAAGATTAGCATGGCCCCTGTGTAAGGATGACGTGCAAATTTGTGAAGCATTCCATATCTTTCAAAAAAATAAATAAGTGAATAAGCACCCTCAGCCTAAGACTGAGTAGTGGTGAAGAGTACCTCTCTGTCTTTCATTCTTACGGAGTTTGATAGGAGTTGGTTCAGTGTTTTGAGCACCAGCTCATTGCTGACTTTCCCAATGGTGGGTCTGGGTTTGGAGAAGACCCTTTACAGGCATGATACATGAGGGCACATTTACCAGGAAATCCAAAAGGAACCATGCCAATTGCCAACCAGTGCACACAGACCCAAGTCCACGTGTCTCTATGATGATTTGTTTTAATGCTCTTTAGAAGATATTGTTCTAGATCCTCTACTAAAGCAGTTTTTACTGACCCTTAACACATGAGTATCACCTAAGTTTCTTTTTCTTTTTTTTTTTTTAAGAGGAGTTTCACTGTTATTGCCCAGGCTGGATGAAGTGCAATGGCACAATCTCAGCTCACTGCAACCTCCACCTCCATGTTCAAGTGATTTTCCTCTTTCAGCCTCCAGAGTAGCTGTGATTACAGGCATGTGCCACCACACCCAGCTAATTTTATATTCTTAGTAGAGATGACCATGTTGGTCAGGCTGGTCTTGAACGTCTGACCTCAGGTGATCCACCTGCCTTGGCCTCCCAAAGTGCTGGGATTACAGGCGTGACCCACCAGATCTGGTCATCACCTGAGTTTTTAAAGTGTCTACTTGTAGGCTGGCATGGTGGCTCATGCCTGTAATCCCAGCACTTTGGGAGGCCAAGGCGGGCAGATCATGAGGTCAAGAGATCGAGACCATCCTAGCCAACTTGTGAAACCCCATCTCTACTAAAAGTACAAAAATTAGCAGGGCGTGGCAGCACACACCTGTAGTCCCAGCTACTTGGGAAGCTGAGGCAGGAGAATTGCTTGAACCTGGGAGGCGGAGGTTGCAGTGAGCTGAGATTATACCACTGCACTCCAGCCTGGCGACAGAGCAAGACTCTGTTTCGTAAATAGATAAATAGTCTACTTGTAAACCAGGAATGTCTTCATGTTTCAGTTGAACTAATTATTGAATACTTAATATATTGATGGCTTATGCTAGACACTAAGTCATTATGAAATGTTTCTAAAGAGTTAAGGGATTGAACACAAAAAGTCATTCTGTAGACTACTAGCAGTACTTGAATAAGAATCACATTACTTAAGGTTTTTTATTTTGGAAGATGGGGACGTATTTTTTTTTTTAAGTAGCCATTGGCTTTATGGTTCTAGGGCTTGACCTGTAGTACATTTGCTTCATCTATTGGCAAGAAAAATTTCAGCCATGTTCACGTACACCAGTAGTTCTTATTGGTAATTTTACCTTCTGAGACATGTTTTTCTAAATGCTTCACTCACATGCCAGTCACATAGGGGAGTGTCAGCCCTGGATTTCTGCTTCTGAAATTTTAGTGGGTTTCCGCCGCATGCTGAGGTGATTAGGGTAGAGGCTCTATTCTCAAAGACCCAGTACTGAATTTTTCACGTGGCCTCCTAGTTTGTCTCCTGCCAGTGGGATCTGCTGCAGGAGGTATGTGCCAAGTGTCCCATCAGCCAAAAAGAGCTGCTGTGAACTAAGTGTATCCATGTATAGTGACTGTACCTCACCCTTTCATGTGTTCACTGTGTAATCATTAAAACTAGCGGGCAGGTGTTGTTATTGGCCCCATTTTATACAAGGAGACTGAGACACTGAGAGGCTAAGTAACCAGCCAGGATATATGGCTAATTACTTGTCTGGGCCGAGATCCAGCCAGATCTGTCTGACTTCAGAGGCCAGAGCCCCCACAATTCATCACTATATATCCAAGCCAAACCAAATCTAGAGGCATGTGCTCAGTAAGGATAAAGTTTAATGCTGCTGCTGTATAGAAAGGGGAGGAGAGGAAGCTTTATGAGATGCAGTAAAAAGGCTGCTTTACACCTATAGTCTTTGCTTTTTATCTCTAACTTCATCATAAATAGCTTAATTAAAAGTTTGTTTTAGATAATTCAGACTCTAAACATCTTCCTACACGCTAACCCTACTCAATAACCTCTATTTACTGTAAGATGAGAGAGAGTGTGTGCTGTCCTGGTTGTCTGCCATCAGAGAGCCACAGTGAGACTTTTTGGTAATGGTTAATATTGGATTTTTCATTCCTGATAGCAATATGTCAGAATATATGGCAAAAGGTGTGAATAATTTGAAGTATTTGTTGTTTATATCTCTGTGTTTTATTTCAGGGTTGATTGTGAAAGAAATTGGTTCTTCCACCTCGAGCTCTTCAGAAACAGTTGTTAAGCTTCGTGGCCAGAGTACTGATTCTCTTCCACAGGTATTAAAGGAATTGAGAAACATAAATTAGGAAAATAAATTATAGAAAATTTTAAGTATTAACTTATACTTACATTTATACAAATGAGAAAAAATTAAAAACCCTAAGGAAGTGATTCTTCCTAGATACGTACATTCTAGCTTTATTCTGAATTTATTTCCATCTTATTTGCTAGTTCTGCTTATCTTTGAGTTGACTGATTTTTTACTTTATATATTTTGCTTCACACTTAATATGGTTGGGTAGCCTGTGATCTTCAGACCTCAAGTGAACCACATGTGCACACATGTATGTGTCTTTGTGTGTGTTGCTTGTTTTCAACCTGGGAGAATAATATTTTTGTCAGTGTGTTCTGGCAGAAATGTTTCCACACTCTGGTTATTCCATTCAGATTTAATTTTCAAAGTATGCTATGCCTAGAGCATTTGACAACCTGAGATCACTGGTTAAACTATTAAATGTCCAACAATATAGATAAAATACTATGAAACTCATGGTTTCAGCATTTGGATGTAATGTATGACTGATGGCTCTACTTCCAGAGCATGTCTTCCCTCCTGCCTTTCTCTCTTTTTTTTCCGTTCTGTGTATGTTTCTCTTTTTTCATTTGCATTCTGGCTCTCCTTGTCCCCTACTTTTCTCCTCCTCTTTCTTCCCTTTTTTTCTCTTACGTCTTTTCTTTCTTTTATTTCCACTGAAGTAACCATAATGTGAAAATGATGTTTATGAAATATTTTTCTGAAAACTCCAATGAATAATCTACTCTTAGATGCTTCTGGGGCAGAGCTGATAGTCAGATTCCACACCTACATCATGAGGAAAACATTGTGTGCCTTCCTTGAGGGTTTGTGGGAATGACCAGATGATTCTATGTGTGAAATCCCATTGGAGCCTTTAAAGACTACATCAACACAAGGGATCACTCAGATGTGACACTTCCTAGTAAAATGTGCTTCTGGAACTTTTACCTTTAGCAAAAATTGCATTTTATTCTAACAGGGTTGTCCTTTGTGGTGGTAAGCAGCAAAATTTAAGGATGTAATGGCTGGTTTCCTTAAATAACCCATTAAATATTTTCCATTCATTAATTGTCAGAACCACTTTTAACCCATTTCTATTTTCCATCAATACCACCTCTTGGAATAATAAAAGTCTGCCCCCTACTGTGTACAGCATTTGGCAGAATCCCACGCCCTTGTCTTGGGGAACTGAGTCCTGGTGCCTGCCTCCCAGCCTCTTCAACACCAAGAACACTATATATTCAGCCCAGCACAAAGAACACTTTATATTCAACCCAAGAATTCTGGCTTTTAAAAACCAAAACTATGTTTCTTAATGATAATTGGTTTATTTTCCCATTTCTTATTAAAATAATAACATCTTGGTCTAAAAGTATTGCCACATTGAATTGCCATATCCTAGTGAAAAAAAATAAACAAAAGAAACCATATCTTTACCTGTATGGCCTTATTTCAAGATAATTGCTTGATCTCTGAAATGCTAAGGTTAGTTGGACTCCTGTTACATTTGCATCTCTGTGCTTTGGATTATTTATCCGTAAAATGAGAAGAGCGATAGTGCCTGCTTCCTAGGACTGTTAGGAAGATTAAATGAGTTAATGGCATGCCGAGTGTTTAGGTCAGGGCCTTGCACATAGTAATTGCTTGGTAAATGTTAGCTGCTATTTCTGGTGGAGGTGGTGGTGATGGTGTATTTCCCCCTAGGGCCCTGAAACCACAGATTGGAAACCACTTTCTAACATATAAGGATTACTTAACCTTTTGTGGTTCTGTAGCATTTCTCTATACAAGGCAAATAGTCGAACCTTTCACTTTAGTCTATAAAGTCATTTCAACCTTCCCTTACCTTGCAGACTATATGTCGGAAACCAAAGACCTCCACCGATCGACACAGCTTGAGCCTTGATGACATCAGACTTTATCAGAAAGACTTCCTGCGCATTGCAGGTCTGTGTCAGGACACTGCTCAGAGTTACACCTTTGGATGTGGCCACGAACTGGATGAGGAAGGCCTCTATTGCAACAGTTATTTGGCTCAGCAGTGCATCAACATCCAAGATGCTTTTCCAGTAAAAAGAACCAGCAAATACTTTTCTCTGGATCTCACTCATGATGAAGTTCCAGAGTTTGTTGTATAAAGTCCATCTGTGTGCAGCTGTACAGGCAACTTACTGTTTGCTAGAGGATGCGAAAATCGTGGGTTCTTTACGTATTACTTGTGCCATATCTTCTTCACCCTAAGCATAGCTCTTTCTTTATAATATTTGTGATGATGGAAACAAAAGCCTTGAAACAATTGCACTTTAAGTATTACACAGAAGAAGAAGAACTACAGAAAATATACAGCAAGAAAAGTGCCCAGAAGCCCATTGCTCCTTTGGAAGGAAGTGCGTTTTACTGATTACGATGCCTTCAGAATATTGGAGTGTGGTGCGTTTGCTCATCTGATGCTTTTTAGTTCAGCTACATGTAAATCACATTTTTTATCACATGAAAGATGTTAGATTTATTTGTTGGCTTGTAAATTTTTTTACCACTCCCTCATAAAATGCTCATGGTTTGGGAGAGGAAAGCAGGAAGATTCTTCTTTTAACAGAGAGACGGTTGTTCTATATAGCCATTGCTTCCTCCCTGAGGCTGTCCCAAAGTGAACACTGAT